CCCTGGAATCAAGAAAAACATGAAAATGAACTGAATTTGTTACAATTCCAAATAATTACAAAGCTATGAGATACCCCTAAATACCCTAGAGTAGTGGCTCTCAACCTTCCCAATGCTTTGACTCTTTAATACAGTTCCTCATGTTGTGGTGTGCCCCCCAACCATAAAATTATTTTTGTTGCTACTTCACAACTGTAATTTTGCTGTTGTGAATCAGGATACCCCTGTGAAAGGGTCATTCAACCCCCAAAGGAGTTGCGACCCACAGGTTGAGAACCACTGACCTAGAGAATAGCCCAATTCAAAAAATCAGAGAGCAACAAATGTTAGAGGAGATATAGTGAGAAAGGAACTCTCCTCCACTGCTGGTGGTCTTGTAGATATGTATAGCCACTGTGGAAAGTGATCTGGAGATACCTAACGCATATGGAAATTGAGTTACCTTATGACCCAGCAATACCCCTATTGGGCATATACACAGAAGAGGTAAGAAATAGACCACAACCAGTCATCTGTGCCCCAATGTTTATTACAGGGCAATTCACAATCACAAAGAATTGGAAATAAGTAAAATTTCTATCGATAAACGAATAGATTAGAAAACTCTGGCATATACACATGATGGAGTACTATGCATCCTAAAAAGCAGTGATGAACACATGAACCATATCATCTCATGAAAAGAATTGGACGAAATTATGCTAAGAAAAGTTAGCCAAGCACAGAAGGAGAAGTACAACGTGAGTCCACTAAGGTGAGTCCAATCAACATGGTGGGTACAGAGAAAAGCTATTTGATACATCTGGGGCAGGAAACAAACCAAGCCCAAAGGTGTATATGACACATCAATATAAAGATGGGGAAAAGTGGGGGAGAGGAAAAAAACCATGGCATTGGGGGAGTGAGGCACTAATCCACCCAAAGGAAGGGGAGCGAGAGTGTAGACCTCATTACAGACCACCAAGCCTTGAGGAGAGCGTACCTGTATGGAGCAAGCCGTTAACAGAGAAGAATTCAGGCAGACCCCAAACCAAGATATGCTGACCACCTCCCCAGAAGATTGTGCTATAGAAGACAACACCAAAGTTATAGTCTGGGGAGAGGGGCCGGCCTGTCCCGCCCACAGGGGAGCAAAGTAAGAAGGAAAGGGAGAGTGAGAGACTAGATCTAAACTGGTACACCAAGCCCTGAGGACAACATCCCTGCTCAGAGCAACTAAGACACAGAAAGGACACAAGCTGTCCCCTCACTAGAGCATAGTGCTATGGAAGGCCCTGAGGAATCCCCAAAATAGACTTCAGACTCAGAGGGGCAGAGCCCGGAGCCCTGCCAGACCGGCATAAAGTCATAAAGGTCAGCAGACAGAACTGAAACTATGTACAGTTTCTTTCTTTCTTTCTTTTTGTGTCTTGTATTTGTTGTTTTTGTTCTATCTATGTAAGACAGGCACAAGCAGTAAGCCCAAGGAGAAAGTTACAGGACCAATGGTTCCAGGGAGAATTGAGGGAAGAGGAGGCAGAAGAAGGGAGTGTTGAGCAAATATTGTCATGGACAGGGGAACAACTAGGGATCTAAATTTGACAGCGAGGAGGTATAGAGTTCCTGGTGGTGGTGGAGCAACTGTAATCTAGCCTAGAGGAATTAGCGAGAGGCAAATGAGGGGTGAGCATGATAGTGGGGCAGGAGAGAGGTCAAAGAGGAAAGAACTAGGACGCAAAACTCTTTATAGAAGTATAAACATAGATGTGTACATATGTAAATATATTAATGCATAAAAGTTGGGGTACTGACCTATGTATATATACTTATATGGCCATTTATTGAGGTAGTGGATGGATTTTTGACCTCTACTTAAGTTTTCCCTCAACATAAGAGCACTTGGTTCTAATAATGTGGCACTGGGAGATGCCCACCTTCCCGACACCATCGCTGAAGACAAACTGGGTACATAAGCAAATGTGGTGAAAAAAGAAGATGGTGCCCAGCTATTAAAAGATATAGCATTCTTAAAAGCTTGAAGCCAAATAGCTGGCCATCTAGCAGGGTATCAACAAAGCCCACATGGAAGAAGTACACCAGCTTGCCTGATCATGGGGTGTCAATGGGAATAGGCATCAGGAGTTTAAAAATAAACAACCTTAGCTAGAGGGGTCAAAAATAAACAATCTTATCTAGAGGGGTCAAAGTAGAGACTCAGAGCCCATCTGTGGACATTTGGATATTCCCACACAGAGAGGCTGCATGAAAGAGAAGACATATCCAGGGGGTAGTTAACACCAATGAAAAACACAAGACTCCTCAAATCCTTTAATCTTTCCTCCTCCCCACTATTATGATCTCAGTCCTACCTTGTAAATCCTGCTAAACCAGTGCACATACATTGGTGCAGAAGAGAACCTTTAATATATGGAATTCAGGACAAAACCCTCAGAAACAGCAATGAGAGTAAGAATTCTAGGAGGGTAGGGGCAGGGAATGGCAGAAGGGAGGGAAGGGGAATGGATTAAAATGATGGTGGAATAACCCCTCTTGAGGGAGTCAAACACCAGGATAGTAGGTATAGGGATAGAATGGGCATTGTGAGCTATGTATAAATATTAATAGCAATACATAACATATTAAGGGTTCATGAGGGTGGCAGGGTACATGAGGGAGGGAATAAAGAGGAGCTAATAACAAGGGCTCAAGAAAAAAGATAATGTTTTGAAATTGTTTATAGCAACATTTGTACATGTCCACCTGATATAATGGATATATGGATTCTTATAATATATGTAAGATCCCCCCAATAAAATTCTTTCTTAAAATAATAACCATAATACTTATAGGTTTCTTATACTCCTGGAATAAATTAGTAGCTTAGGGTCTAATAATTATTTGGTTGCTGTGTTAGTCTAGGTAGACTAGAGAAACAAAATTCATAAGCACTCATAATTTTAAGAGAGAGTTTTATATAAAGGGTAATTGTACATTAATGATCCCAACCCAGTCCAGTCCAAGCCCATAAGTCCGACATTAGCCCATATGTCTGACACCGATCTACAAATTCCTCCTCAATCTCACAAAACACACTCAATGATGCTGACTGCAGGAGGAAAGCAGAATCAGTGAGCTTGTAAGCACAGCGCTGGCAAAGGTCTCCACACAGCTTCTCCAGCAGCCACGGCCGCATCAGGGTAGGTCCATGTGGCTTCTCCTCAGGGATGTTTCAAAGGAAGTGAGCCTTGCAAGCTGAGACAGAGAACTAGCTGAGGCAGCCATTCACACTGGTCGGACCATCAGAGAGCAAGAGACCAGACTGGCGAGGCTCGCTGAGCCATTTCTCTCTGCCTTTAGATTAATCCCACATATGTTCATTGGCCAGGTTGGCACAATAAACCTTAACTATCACAGCTGCCATATAATGTAGTAGATCCTGTCAATTAATCAAAGAGTAAAACCAACTCTTACTTGCAAGGTTTGTTAGAAATTATTATTTTATTAGATAATTTTTCCAAAAAAAGAAATTTTGGAATATTTCATGATGAGCTAATCTCTTGTTTTCTCATATTTGACTGACATACTTTGAGCTTCTAAATTTAAATGATTAATCTCCGTCATATCTACTACTAAGTTCAAAAACTTAGTAGATACGAAAAGCATAGATATCAAAACATATGTAAACCATAGGTTTTATTTCTAAATACATTATGAATTATTTAGTAAAGATAAGTATGTAATAAATCATTCAAGAACCTCTATAAAATAGATATATATATGGCATTGGTGTATTTTAGAAGCTAAAATATTTAATGAAGTTTTTCACAAATAAGTAATATTGTAATGAATTAAAATAGCCATTTTCTTATAGCTATATTACCAACAATATAATTTTGGTAATTAGAAAATGCTCACCTGGAAGCTTAGGTTTAATTAGGAAGAATTCATTTTCATGGGCTTTTTCAGTCCCTATATTAATTCAAAATGCTGTGTTTCTTTACCTAACTTTTTTTAAGAATCTGGAAGATTTTTATTTTTAATCTCACACAGTGTGATGACTCCTTTTTTGTGTGAAGGCAATGATTTTATGTTTGACAATATAATTGTTATACATGTATACACAATGTATATACTATTTACTATATGTCTTTCTGTTCTACGAAATCAAATTGTATCAGCAAAATTACAAAACTGTTATAAAACCAGAAAATCACTATGGAGTCAATTCTGACTCATAGTAACCGTATAAGCAGAGTAGAACTTCCCTATGGGTTTCTGAGACTGTAAATCTTTACTGGAGGACACAGCCCTGTCTTCCTTCCATGAAACAGTGGTGGTTTCCAACTGCACACCTTTCCATTCATAGCCAAACCCATAACAACTACACGACCAGGGCTTCCTTCGACGCATACAATCATTTTTGACTGAATGAGTTACTTGATTTCATGTTTTTTAATTTTATTACTCACGTTGCTCACAAAACAATGCATCAAATGGGCATGTAGCTCATAGATAATATCATTTTGGCCCTGTTATATCTTAGAAATAAGAGGATGTTAAATTGAGTGGTAGAAATTCTGTTCTGGATCCTATGTGTTTTGAAGGATTACACCTGAAATTTGACTAACTCAGCAACCAACAGACATATAGAGGACTCTAAACTTGAACCTGAAAAGTCTTGAAACACGGCTTGTTGCCTTTTGTCATGTCTCATGGTTTATTTGTAAACAGAGGGAGCAAAGTGTTGATGCAGGAACTCAGAGTTCAGAGGTCTATATTTTTGTCAAAAATAAGATCAATATCATTCATTTTATGCCACTTCCTCTGGACATAATGTCTATATTTCAAATGATATTTCCACATTATACCAGTTTTACATGAACTACTTATATATAATCTAAAGCTAAGGAATCGGCTAGAATCATTAGCCTTCACTGTGTTTTCATTTTTGCCGAAACCCAACCATATTTTAGCTGTCAAAACAATTACCCTCTCTTTTTTTTCCTTTCTTTCTTTTCTTTACATGTGGCACTGAGTATTATCAAACTCCAGTCATCAAGGCAAGCTCTACTGGTGTTAGCAAAAATCCTGCCTGTTAATGTAGCACACTTCTGACACTCAGAAGTTCACAACAACTACCCTCTTAATGCCCTACAACAATACATCATTTGGCTTTAGATGTGAACGCTAGTAATGTATTAATAACTATCTTGATTAAGCATAGGTGTGTTAGTCTGGGTACTTTAGAGAAACAAATCCACAGAAACTTAAGTATGAGAGTTTTATATAAAGGGTAAGTGGCAACAAGAAAACATCACGACCCAGTGCTGCCCAAGGCCACAAGTCCAACATTAACCCATTAACCCATATGTGTAACACCAATCCACAAAGTCCTCCTCCATCTCACAAAACAGACACAATGATGCTGACTGCAGGAGGAAAGCTGAGTCAGTGAATCTGTAAGCATCTCAGTGCTGGCAGAGGTCTCCACATAGGTGCTCCAGCACCCAGGGCTGTATTGGAGTAAGTCCATATGGCTTCTCTTTGGTCCCCACTATTATGATCTCAGTCCTACCTTGTAAATCCTGCTAAACCAGTGCACATACATTGGTGCAGAAGAGAACCTTTAATATATGGAATTCAGGACAAAACCCTCAGAAACAGCAATGAGAGTAAGAATTCTAGGAGGGTAGGGGCAGGGAATGGCAGAAGGGAGGGAAGGGGAATGGATTAAAATGATGGTGGAATAACCCCTCTTGAGGGAGTCAAACACCAGGATAGTAGGTATAGGGATAGAATGGGCATTGTGAGCTATGTATAAATATTAATAGCAATACATAACATATTAAGGGTTCATGAGGGTGGCAGGGTACATGAGGGAGGGAATAAAGAGGAGCTAATAACAAGGGCTCAAGAAAAAAGATAATGTTTTGAAATTGTTTATAGCAACATTTGTACATGTCCACCTGATATAATGGATATATGGATTC